TTGTAATCTGTTGTTATATACATGATTTTATCTAAAACTCTAAGAAATTCATTGAAATATAACTGTTTCATCTTCTGAGTAATTAAAAGCAATTGATAAAACTTTCTGGGGAACCAAACACAGAATGTTAATTTTTCAAAGGTGCCAGAGAAAACAGTGCTACATAATCCCTACAAATAGGGTCAACACAATTATTCAGGGAACTTTTTTATTGTTGGTAAATTATTCATATGGATTTAACATATTTTTTTCTTCTGGTTCTTGAGTTCAAGACAAAGGTGAGACATAAATTTTTACTTCATTGATCCATTTTAATGGGTTTTAGTATCTGTGGTAAAATGAATTAATCAGAAAGAAAGTTGATAGTAGGACTGAAATAAAAGAGCTAACTCATCTATTCATTTACATAACCCTGCTTTACTTATTACATAACCAACACATGGAACTGTGAAATGTAAGTAATAAGCACATGTTGATAGAGGGTGTTAGAAGGCTAAAAGAAGTCGTTAACAAGAGTTAAGGGTCAGATATAAAGGAAACTTTTTTAACCTTACGCCATGTTTCCTGAAATCAATCACTTTTGTCCTATTACTATCTAACTGTGGAGAATGCCTAAGTATTTGCTCAACTGTCTAAAAACACCTCATAAAATCATTCAGTACCTACCGTGTTAAAATGATGAGCTATTTTGGACAAAAATTCAACAAAAGCTTCCATTTAAATGCAATCAGAAAAATGGTGTCTTCTATGGCCATGCCACCCTGAACGCGCCCGATCCCGTCTGACCTCAGAGAAATGATGTCATAGAAACAAGCTGGCTTCACCTCATCTCCCCACCCCCCAGAAAACAAAAACAAATATACAGTGCCAAGATTATCATCACAAATATCCCAGAAATCAAATACAAGAATGAGACAGTTCCTGAGGCTACAGAGAAGTGAAAAAACTCTCATAATAATCAAACTCTCAAAGATCAAACCTTCAAAAAGCAGCAAAAGAAAAGAAGCAAGTAACGTATAAAGGAGCTTCAATTCATCTGACATCAGACTTCTCAGTGCAAACCATACAGGCCAGGAGGGAATGGGACACATTTTTAAAGTGCTGAAAGAAAAAAAATTAGCATCTGAGAATACTATAGCTAGGAAAGCTATCCTTCAACTATGAAGGAGAGATAAAATCTTTCCCAGACAAACAAAAAGCTGAGAGAATTCACCACCACCAGACCCGACTTACAAGAAATGCTAGGAAAAAAGCACACACTAATGAGCAAAAATAAAACGTTTGAAGATACAAAACCCACTGGTAAAATTAAATTATTCTAATACTATAATTGTGCAGTGCAACCCATTCATAACTCCAATATGAAGCCCAAAAGACAAATATATCAAAAACAATAATAGCTACAACAACCTATTAAGAAATAGGCAATATAAAGTATGTATGTACATTGAGAAAACCAAACATCAAAATTCGGAGGGGATGAAGTTAAAGTGTAGAGATTTTTTTCATTTTTCCTTTGTTGGTTTTTAGTCTTTGTGATCTAAGATAAGTTGTCATCTCTTTAAAATAACTTGTCATCTTTATAAGATGTTTTTTGTAAGCCTCATGTTACCACAATGCAAAAATCTGTAATAGAATCACTAAAAATAAAAAAAAATTAAAGCATACTTCTAGAGAAAAATCACTTAATCACAAAGGAAGACAGTAAGAAAAAAGAAAGAAAGAGGGGTTTCAAAATAACAATAAAGAAAATGACA